TTGGATACAAAGTCAAGGGGACAAATTTTGATTTTTTCAAGGACTGCCATATATTATCAAAAGTAATTAAATATGACTGTTCTCCAAATTATGGGAATTTCAATACTGTAAAATTCCTTTGGTTCCTTTAATGAAATTATCATTCAAAAATTAGAAAGATGACAAAAAAAAACGATTCAAACTAAAATATAAACACAAAAAACCTACTTTGTCATTCCTTCAAAACCTCACCTACATAAAACACGCATATTCATCAAATTGTTTCATACCGATACTTAAATCGACACTCCTCTTCTCTTCAATCTTCAGTGCAAACAAACCGGTGGCGGAGCACAAATTCCAATTCCGTGAAAAGTGCCGATTGATGACATATATTACTAAAGTATCACGTGCGTGCTGATCATTTCTCTATGTCTCTTCAAATAGAGAGAAGGGGTGAATAAGTTAAAGTTTTTCTCTGGAAAATCACTAAGACAAACGAAACGGTCGGGGTTATTAAAACCAAAGATACATATAGAAAGGTGCAAAACGAAAATTGATAACAGAAATTTTTTCGATCATCTTTGTATCATTAAAATTGATAAGTAACTGTGCCAACGTGGGCAGGCCGGAGACGGTTTTCCACCTTTTTTTATTTTGCCTCATTTCGGGTTTACAACCGTCTCTTTCCTGAAATTGATAGGATCGTTTTTTTTTCAATTTTTTAATTTGTATTGAAATATGTAAGAGTTATACTTGTTTGATTGGTTAGTAACGTAATTTTCAGCCAATTATCTTCAATATCCAAAAGACCTGTTACAAAAGTTCATCATAACTTTGACTCCCTTTATCTCAGGTCCTGTAAAAGATACCAAAAAGTGATCGACTGATGAAATATTTTTGTATCATGATAAAAATGTTGTTATTTTATAACTTTTTGATATCTTTCACAGGAACCGAGATAAATTAAATAAAAGTTGAAATCGTTCTTCTATCGTATAAGGTTTTACGGAAATCTTGCAGTAAGCGTACAGTAGTCTTACAATTAAAGAAATCCAAAAAAATTCAGTGTTTCAAAATGCGCATATTTTAATAATGTTCTTGATTTCTATAATTTCGTTTCTTCGATTAGAAAATTAATTTTTAATTTTATATGTACAATCAATTAAAAAACTTTCAGGGAGTGGTTGCGGGAAACAAAACAGAAACATCAGAAGAACAAAAAGTGAAAATTTGGATAAGTAAGTTGAAGTAATGTCGTTTGGACGTCATCGAATGACGTTTAAAAATTCAATTTCAAAATGAATGTTTTGAAACTGTGAAATTTTCAAGAATCGTTCGTTTTTCAAAGTTTTACTAATAAAAAAAATTCAATACTAATTTAGCTTTTCATGGACTGTTTTTGTGGTTGCGAAGTTTTCTTAGCTAATTTTTAGTCACAATTTAAAAAATCACAATACTTAAACTTTTTGAAAAAGTGAAAAAAGTAAATTTCAGTATTTCCAAAATTTTCAATGTTGTTGTTATAACGTTTACCAGCTCACTTGGGTTCAAACCAATGGGTCAGAAATCGCGCCCCAGTAAACGTGAGATTTTCGAAAAAAAAATTATGTCAAATCCACGTCAACTTGGAAATTATTAAATTTCTTCTGGCCTAAAAGTTATTTGGAGCGCGTTTTTTGACCCGTTGGCTTGAACCCAAGTGCCAGCCTGTTCGCACAATTATTTACTTATTAAAGATACATTAAAACTCCAAATTTCAAATAAATTTTTTGAAACAGAAATCATAATTCATTATTTTTGCTTTAAAAAAGTAATAGAACAATTTTTTATGTTACTGGTTTTTAAGCAATTTTCGAAAGTTTTTATGAAACTTTAATAAACTCCTTATTATTGTTGTGCGAAAAAATTGGAGCGAGAGAGTATTTTTTGCAGTCTGAATACGGTAGGCACCTCGAAGCGACAAGCCTAAATAGCGCATAGTCGGTGGAGACGCAGAGAAATATTTCGATTAACTGTCTGCGTCTCAACTCCAATTTTTTCGGACAACAATAATATTATAACTCATATTTGTAGTTCCCCATGAATTTTGAGAGTTTCCAAAGCGCGAATATGCATTGTGACGTGACAGTGTACAGTTATCGGTGTTTCACATTTTGTGTCTACCGTAACCCTTTTGTATATTCCAACGATCTGCAACCGTGTAGCCCTGTAGCGGCACAGAACCTTGACTAATTTTGAGAACATAGCTCAACCGCTATTAGTTCAAACTATTTTATAAGGGAGGTCGTTTTAGAAAGGCTTTCAGAATTTTCTTATTTTTTGACAGGGGTTAGTTGACACGCTCAAAAAGCCCCTGTCAAAATCTGTATATGCACTTTTTCCAAAAATGCTGAAAATTTTTGTCTGAAAGTTTCCAATTTCTTAACCATTGTAAACCTCACTTTTCTCCGTCATTTCGCCTCCCGGGAACTTCCGGAAACACCGTTGTCATGTACACACTTACGCACTGTTGTTCCCAACGTTGAGGTGGCCGGGTGGTTGTGGGCGCGTGTTATAAGCTGAAGGTCTGGGGTTCGATTCCCTCTTTTGAAATTATCTTTTGCTTTTTTTGATCAAATTCCTACACATCTATTCAGGGCTCAAAACATGTTTTTGGTCAGAGTTTTTGAGTTTTTGCCGATTTTCAAACTTTGAGAAGCAGAAAATATCAATTTTTTCAAAGTTAATTTTTTTCGAAAATTTCCAAGTTTTTGGTGGTCAACTCCATGCTAGATTTTCGATGAAAATTTTTTCGTTCGAAATTTCTCAATTTTTGTATGGAATGTATTTTTGGAAATTGTTATTAGTTTCTCATGATTCATCCACCCTTTTTTGACCTAGAACAATGCAAAATCACTTATAATTCATTGTTTTCTTTCGATGTTGACTATTTGATTCACTGTTTTTCGACATATTTTGAGTCAAAAAGCGGCTAGAAGATCATTAGAAGTTAATTAGAACTCACAAAAATACATTCCATACGAAAATTGAGAAATTTCGAACGAAAAAATTTTCATCGAAAATCTAGCATGGAGTTGACCACCAAAAACTTGGAAATTTTCGAAAAAACCTAACTTTGAAAAAATTGATATTTTCTGCTTCTCAAAGTTTGAAAATCGGCAAAAACTCAAAAACTCTGACCAAAAACATGGTTTGAGGCCTGAATAGATGTCCAGGAATTTGATCAAAAAAAGCAAAAGATAATTTCAAAACAGGGAATCGAACCCCAGACCTTCAGCTTATAACACGCGCAACCTCCTCAACGCTGGGAACAACAGTGCGTAAGTGTGTACATGTCAACGGTGTTTCCGGAAGTTCCCGGGAGGCGAAATGCAATAGTTAAGAAATTGGAAACTTTCAGACAAAAATTTTCAGCATTTTTGGAAAAAGTGCATATACAGATTTTGACAGGGGCTTTTTGAGCGTGTCAACTAACCCCTGTCAAAAAATAAGAAAATTCTGAAAGCCTTTCTAAAACGACCTCCCTTGTTAGATAATCGCGACCCGTCAATTGTTGCCCATGGAAATGTCCCAAAATAAGAAACTAATGATACAGTGAAAAAACAATCAAAAGCACAAAAATTAAGTGCGTTTTTTGATAGGAACTTTCGGACAAGTTTTATCGCTTATAGTTTATATTTTTAATGAGCTTAACTTTTTCTCTTAGACTCTCAACACTTTTGGTTTTCTGGTTTGAATGACGGACTTTTGGCAGGAGCTCAAAATTTCTGAGTTTGCAAATAAAACTTCAGGAAGATGAAGCCTAGATTAAACCTTCCAAATTATTTGTTCTGCGTTTTTACGTGACGGTGTACAATGATCGGTGTTTAGAACGCGTAGCTCAGCTTCCGACACTTTTAAAAATTGACAATGTACCTTTAAAATACTCGTCCTTTGAGTCAAAGTCAAAGTTATCTTTTTTTTCTAAAACACATGCATACAAAAAAGAAGACAAAAGAAAAAAGTGCACTGATAAGCGAGCCTGAAACTGACAAAAAAAGAATAGAAATGTATCAAAAACTGTTTCAAGTTATTCATTAATTTAACTTTCTTTAATGAAATCGTATTGATCTGGATTAGTCGCGTTTATTGAACCACCTATTCTAATGGTAGCTATCAGAAATTATCAGTCAATTTCAACGGTAACCTTTTTTTTTGAAAATTTTCAAAAATTCCTTGTCAACCCAATTTTGAGAAAAGGAGTTTCAAAAATGTGTAATAAATACGAAACAGATAACCACAAAAACATTAAAAAATGTTTTATTAATTTTCAGTTGTTTTTAATCTTGTCGTAGTCAATTTCTAGCCATTTTATCTCGTTTCCTGTGAAAGATACCAAAAAATAGCGAATTGTCAAAATTTTTATCATATTATCAGTAACATTTTGGTAGTTGATAATTTTTTGATATCTCCGACAAGAACCTAGATAAAATTAATAAAACTTTACGGTAGAAGGGCCCACGGTGGCTTACAAACCTTTTCAATTGATTCCAAGAAAGCATTCTCATTGAATTTATTTTGAAAAAATGCAGACATTTTGCGGGGAATCTAAAACAGTAAAATTTAATAAAGAATTATCGAAAAAAAGTTTCATACCATTTTGAAAAAGTTTTCATCCCACAATTAGAGGTTATATTTTTCAAAAAAGTAGTAGGTCAGAACCAAACTTTTTGATTAGCCCATTTTTAAAGCGTTGGCTATGATCAGTAAAGTTCAGTAAAGGATCAGTAAAGGAACCAAATTAATATGGAAAAAATACAGAAAGTCAGTAGTGAATGAGAAACAGGAAATGTTTTTAGAGAGTTAGGTGTGATATTCCTTTAGAGTGTTTGAGGTTGATCTAATAATTTCAAAATTTTTCACACTTTCAATTTTTCCATAAACAACCTCATTCAAAAATTCTCAATAATCAAGCCGAGTTTAATCGTTTTCAGACAAAACCAAAACGCGAAAAACCGCCGCTCATAATTTGGAAAATGGAGGACCAAACGAGTATAATCGATGGAGTGGATTTTTCTTCCGATAAAGGAGAGGATGAGCCAGTGCCAATTGATAAAGGACGTATGGTTTTTTGGATTATCATGCTCAATGGAATTGGTGTTCTTCTGCCATGGAATATGTTTATTACTATTGCTCCGCAGGTAAGGGTATTTGGACGTATACGGCTTTTTTGACTCGATTATTTTATGGATGATGTATTATACTGGCAATATTCCGGGCCGATGAAGTGCCGGCCCGCTGTTTGTACATAAGCTGATTTTTTTTGATTTTTTTTTTTCATAAATTTTAAAATGTTTTCAAAAATTTAATCAAAAATTATATATTTTTTGACTACTTTCTACTTTGATAATTTTAAAAATTATGTAACTTTTTTTCTTTTTTAATTCAAAAAAAGTGTCCCAATTTTTCATTTGAAATTGTTTTTACTGACAAGGGAAGTCGTTTTAGAAAGGGGTTGAGAATTTGCTTATTTTCTGACAGTGGTTAGTTTACACCCTTGTAAACCTCCTGTCAAAACCTGTATATGCACTTTTATACTGAAAAATGCTGAAAATTTTCGTCTGAAAGTTCCCAATTTCTTAACCATTGTAAACCTCACTCTCCTCTGTGATATCGACCTCCCGGGAAAACCGTTCACTTGTACGCTCTGTTGCTTTCAGCGGCGAGGTGGCTCAGTGGTTGTGGGCGCGGGTGATTAAACTGAAGGTCCGGGTTCGGTTCTTTCCTTTTGAAATAATTTATGCTTTTTTTGATCAATTTCCTAGGCACCTATTTTGGGCTCCACGATAGCTTTCTGCGCGAGATTTCAAATTTTTACCGAATTTTCAACTTTGGGATGAAGAAATCAACATTTTCATGTGTGTTTACAAGAGAGTGAGGTTTACAATGGTTAAGAAATTGGGAACTTTCAGACGAAAATTTTCAGCATTTTCGAAAAAAGTGCACATAAAGATTTTGACAGGAGATTTACAAGGGTGTCAACTAACCACTGTCAGAAAATAAGCAAACTCTCGACCCCTTTCTAAAACGACTTTCCTTGTGAGAAAGGGCGGGCCGCCCGGCCTGTTGCAAGTATGGTTGCTAGAATAAACATTCAAAAGTTGACATCTAAAATGGAAAAAGTGAAACAGTGAAAAAATCAAGAAATTTCCAAACTGTATATGAAACCTAAAAAGCTTTGAAAAATTACTCTGTGATAATTTGATCAGAGATCCCTACCGCAGGGTGTTTCCCAAATTATCATTGTTCTGAAACAGTAATTCTCTTTAAATATGAAAATATAGGAAAGTATGCTTTTTTTTCTTTTTTAACTTTTCATGTCCTTCCTGCTGTAATGCACTTTTCGAAATTTGGATGCATATATAAAATACATAGTCAAAGTTTCATTCTTACAAGTCGAGTTTCTGAAATAGTGATAATTCTGTCCTAATCAATAAGTTCAAATAGTACATTGAGTACGAGGATCCCGATAAAGGCTCATTTAAAGGCGCAAGGACAGGCTACCGTATTTTTGAGAATATTTTAAACACTAGCCGCATATTTTCTCAATTTCCGACGATTTTCTGATAATTTTTCAATTTAACATTCAGTTTGAAAACTTGCTAAATTTCTGAAGTTTTAGAAACAGCAAAGTTTATATTTCTACTGGTCATCACTTATTTGGCAGGAGTACAACCTGAACATTTTTATTAGGCTGTAAAATAGTCGACTGATAAGAAAATCGGGACGAAACACGTGGTTTGTTCCGATCAACGAGAACTCGATGTCTAGGAAATCTTTAAAGGTGGGGGGGGGGGGGGGACATGAAAAAAATAATGTTCTCGAAATTCCGTTCAAAGATGCCCCTCGAGGAGTTGAACTTGTGAGGGCGATGATTGAGGGTGCGGCGCCGCTACCGAATGAGCCACGCGGGCAAGGAGAAAGCGCACACCCGATTGCATACAATAAAGGCGAGGACGACAGCTGTACGCAGAGTGACATTAAGCGTTGTACACCGTCACGGTAGAATGCATACTCTAGCTACAAAAAAAACTACGAAAAATCTCCTGTCCCCCCACCTTTAAAGGAGGGGAAACACGAAAAAGAAAATGTTCAAATTGGTTCTTTCAAACTCCAATTACTGTTCCAAAACCAAAATAATTTGGTGCAAAGAATAATTTGACAATCTTGATATAATTTTTTAAACAAAAATTTCGTCAATGTTTAAAGCTATTTTTTCAGTACTACGTTGACTACTGGTTCACTGTGAATGGCACCAAGACATCATACGCCGACAGTTTCATGTCAGCAATGGGAATCGTTGCGCAGATTCCAAACTGTATAATTGCGTTCATAAATGTGATGAATCTGATTCGTGGACCATTGATTTATCGAGTGTTGGCTCCATTGGCGTTCAATAGTTTGCTGATTGTGGTGATTTTGGTTTTGGTCATTGCGCAACAGCCAAGTGATGATGGTGAGTGTATTGTATTCAAAAAGTATAAACAAATTGTTGTTAGCTTACTGTAGGGATACTTTAAGCTTATTTAAGGCTTACTGTAGACTGTATGATTGCTACAACCTTCCTTCTGAAATTTTTTTTAATTTTTGAAAGTTGTGTAGTTGAAAATTAAAAATTACAGACAGAATGCAAGAAAGTAATATTCAATAAATTATCGTTACAAAAACATTCAAAAATGTGTGCATTCTGAAACACTAAACTTTTTAAAAACTGACATTACTGTAAAATTTACTATGAAGTTACTATAAATTTACAATTATGTTGAGTTTCATTTTAACAGTCTATTAAAAAAGCTAAGATTTAACAAACTTTAGTACTTATTGAAACATTGAAAAAAGATCCTATCAATTTCAGGAAAGAGGCGGTTGTTAACCCGAAATGAGGCGAAATAAATGAAAATGGAAATGCGTAATTTAACCTAGTTTATATCAATTTCTTGGAACTAGGGTTGGCTTGGGGGCGAAAAAAGGCGATCCCCGCCCCGCGGGTGCGGGGCGGGGATACGCCCCCTCCCCGGGAGGCGGTATACTTTGCGTAATTGCGCGTAACTGAATGGACCAATTGACTTGAAAATTTCAGGGTAGCCTAATTGGGTACCCTGAATCGTAAAATAATCTAAAAAATTCGGTTACTAATTCTTTAAACAAAGTTGTTTTTCGACAGGGGCGGGGCGGCNGNACNCCCGCTTTCGCTGGGCGACCCATTTTAGGGGACGGGGGACGGTCGTCCTCAGCCCTTTTTTCGGGGACAGTACCAAATCACTAACATAGAGTCATAAATGAAATAATTCTTACATTTTTTTGGAAATCATTGTAAAACTAATTTTTTTTTGAAATTCGCATCTTTTGTAGAAATTTGGAAAATCAAAATATCTGTTTCATATTCGTTTTATTTTTGAAAACAACTTTTGAAAAAGATTAACTGTTACGTTTTTTCCANAATTGCAAGCCAAAAGAAGAGTTTCAGCAAAAAATAATTCTCGGAAAATCCAAAAAAAAAAACATACAATTGTCACAAAAG